TGGTGTGTCTTATCATATTATTTTAATGTATTATCTTAGTTATGAACACACAGGTTTGTAGTGCAAACAGTTTTACCGTTTACTGCACTGTTATTCTCCTCGTTATTTCCCTATAGCGGCTAATGAACCGGAAGTCTCACACATAGGCTTACTTCTGCGTTGAAGAAAACGGTGGATACGTGTCACTACTTGATCCGTACCGGAAACACGATTTGTACTGCGCATGGTCTAGCCTACGGAGGACTCTTCTTGTTGCCTAGCAACTGCGACAGCTGCCGTAGACCAGCGGCAGTAACCTGTGTAAGTGAACTTATTATATTCAGCTGCATACAACTAAACCGGGTTGAAAATCTGTTTAAATATGTTTACCATGGTCCATTTATGTACGTAATAATCAATAATAGAATAAACAACATAAAATCACATTTTGGTAAGATATGTCGACATTTAATCGCTTTATATTTTGTATTTTTTCATATCATTACAATATTCAAGTAAGTCGAAACCCAATACTTACATTTAAAGTGTAATTCGGTAATTAAAAGTCAAAAACTAAAAATTCAGGCTCCAGTTGTTTTAATTTTCATTAACTAATAACATCTATGGCAGCTCTCTTCAGGCTCCCTGGCAGCTCTCTTCTGGCACCGTTGCTAACGACAGAGCGGCGATCGGGAGCACCTGCTGCTGCTATATTTAGCTGTACAAAACAGCTAGTTTTGCTGCTTGATATCAAAAACTGGTGTGTCTTATCATATTATTTTAATGTATTATCTTAGTTATGAACACACAGGTTTGTAGTGCAAACAGTTTTACCGTTTACTGCACTGTTATTCTCCTCGTTATTTCCCTATAGCGGCTAATGAACCGGAAGTCTCACACATAGGCTTACTTCTGCGTTGAAGAAAACGGTGGATACGTGTCACTACTAGAAGTCTCACACATAGGCTTACTTCTGCGTTGAAGAAAACGGTGGATACGTGTCACTACTTGATCCGTACCGGAAACACGATTTGTACTGCGCATGCGCGAAATTGCTTCCACTTCCTGTCACCGCCAACGTTTTTACGACAGTCTAGCGATATGGATTCTTTTGCGTTCTATATACAGCTTCAAGAATTTCTCTTAAAAGGAGAAATTCCTGACAATTCTGCAAATCGTCGGAAGGTTAGACGGGCGTCAACGAATTTTATCATCAAAGGTAACTATTAGTACCGAAAGATTTTATAATGAAAAAGAGAATTGACTGTTACAACCTGGGCCATGTGCTTAATTAAAATAATGTTTTAAAAATATCAAGCTACGTTCACTGTACTTGTTTAGCTCCTATATCTGGATATGTAATTAGATCTTTTTTACATTGAATTGCAGCTTCTTCTGACTTTTTCTTTTTTCCAATTAAGATGGATGACATACTGTTCTACGTCGGCCCCATGCGGCTAGTTGTCCTGTCAGAGGAAGAGAAGAGGCCTGTTCTTATGGAGTGCCACAGTAACCCTGGGACTGGCAATCACAGTGGCGTCAGAGGCACTCAGAACAGGGTTATTGCTGCATACTATTGGCCTACAGTTATCCAGGATGTCAAAGAATGGGTAATGTACTTATATTAAATGTAATATAATATACTTATAATAGGTGGTACTTTATTTTCACTTCTACTTTTGCCAGTTTTTTTTCTTTGCAAGTATCTATACTTAAGAATATGTCAATTTTTGCCACCTCTGATTGTTAGATACCTCCGTGATTTAGAAGTTATATTTATTGTCATCACCAACTTATATCAAGTGGCTGTTTTTCTTGACATTTAGTTCAAAAGAATGTGTTGCTCGTTAGGTCAGATCCTGCCACCGCTGCCAGTTGAATGACCCCATCAAGACTGTTGTGCCAGTCTTGCATTCTATTAAGGCACTGCATACGATGTTTTAGCAAACTGATGAGATTAACAAGCTAGTCTCAACCTTGTGTACAGTTTTACCAGCATTTGGTTGATGTTAATTTTGTGCCATGCAGGTAAAAGCACCTTGGGAGGTGCTTGGATTGGATTTGATTGGACCACTGCCAGAAACAGCACACAACAGCAAGTATGTCCTTACCATGACTGACCGGTACACCAAGTGGGTGATTGTGGAACCTATGCAATTCTAAGACGGCAGCTGAGGTGTCTGCAATAATAACCGCAAAGCTGTACTTGTTTGGCATGGTTAGGAAAATCATTACAGACCAAGGGAAGGAGTTCGTCTGCAAGGTGAAGTTTATGTTTTTTCCTCCTACTCTTGTCTCAACATTTGTAAATGTAATGTGTCTGGTTTCCGGTCTCATCTGCTTCCAGCTATATTTAGCTGCACGAAACAGCTCGTTTTGCTGCTTGATATCGCAAACTGGTGTGTTTTACCATATTATTTTAATGCATTATCTTAATCATGAACACACTGGTTTGTAGTGCAAACAGTTTTACTGTTTACTGCACTGTTATTCTTCTCCTTATTTCCCTGCCATGCTGAATGAAGCAGAAGTCTCACACATTCACAGAAAACGGCTTTCTTCCACGTTGAAAAATAAGGTGGATATGTTGTTGTCTACAGTTACTCCAGTCTTGCAAATGTAACTTATGATCCCTCTGCAGCTCAACGACAGCATTGTCAGTACGTACGATCCCTCAGCAGCTCAACGACAGCATTGTCAGTATGCTGAAAAGCAAACATGCTGTCTCCAGTGCTTACCATCCCCAAACCAACGGGCAGGTAACTCTTTGGATGCCTGTCTTGTAAGATCTATTGTTGCCTTATGGTTATTCACCAACTTTATAAATGCATTGATATGCACAGGATGAAAGAACTAATCAGAATATCAAGCGTACGTGACTGACAACCACAATGACTGGGACCTCCACCTTCCTGCTGTGGTGTATGGAATCAACACTGCAAAGCAGGTTTTGTCTTATTATATTTATAATATCTACGGTTAGTTGTCAATGGTAAAACTGAACTGGTGAATTTATTTACTATTTAATGTCAAGGGTGGAACTTTTCAAACTTATAGATGAATACAAACTTAATAGTTAATGGGAAGCTTCCTTATGTGATCAGTACTCCACTAGACACAGTCTACTTCCTCCTCTTCGTCTGCCAGAGGTCATGAATGCCTGTCCCATGGGAGATGATTTTGAAGTTGCTAACCCAGAAGATGACATCGACACCAGAGTCAATAAGATGAAACTTCTCAATGAAACGGTATGTATTTGAATAATAAAGGTAAATTAAGTAATAAATTACTATCAGAATTAGACCTAGGCATAGGCTGATCTATGTATTTTTTTGCTGTTATTCTGCTTTATCTCTAGTTCTAGTTATAAACGCAATTGAACCTTCATGTGAAGCCACTCTCCCTCACTCTGTTACATTGTAATGATTAAACCTTGTTCCTTATTGTTCTATTTTGGCCTGACTGAGACGCCATTGATCAAGAGACCAGAGAATTCTGGATTTTTCTATGAGTTTTAATTTTGGGTACTGTTTTTTTGTAGGTTCTTCACAACATAGAGAGAGCACAGAGCATGCAACAGAAGTCATTCCTAAATCGCAAGCGCAAGTTTGTGCGAGTATGTTCAGTTCAGGCCGGTGATGATGTTCTGCTCTCACGGGACCCCAAGAAACGACGGACAGGAGACACATTTACAAGTCAGCACCAAGGACCATATACTGTGGCCAGCATCTCTTCCAAAGGGGTGGCCACTATCGTCAAAGGGTCAGCTTGTCAGAGGGTCAATGTGTCAGGACTGAGGACATACTACAGATTGAAAAGTAATTTGAAAAGCCATTATATATTTGTATATTCAGGTGCAACAGCCTACCATTGTGAGAGACCTTCATACAGCTTGGTACTGGGTAAACAATCACAGAGACTTATTCCGTGGAGAGGTGACAGAGCCTGCTTTTCTGCAGATGAACAGTGAAAGTCAACAAAATGCACTCAGGAAGGCCCTGGGGAGTGAATTCCCTGAAGCAAAGGATGACTTTTTGTTTATATTTCCGTCTCAAGATGACATGGAAACATTTTTGTCATACTGTGTTGATAAACAAGGCCTGAAGGTCAATGCCATGTTCCTCAATAGCTGTTAAATAATAAAATCAAAGTCGTACAGTGTTATTTGTATTTCACAGTATGCTCTCAGCACCTGTACATCATGCCCACTAACATTCACAGAGGTAAGCTATATTTCCACAAAAATATACCAAACTACTTTTATGTGGCTTTTTTTGTTTGTTTGTTTGTTTTTTGTTTTGCACTCTTTCAGGAGGAGGTGCCATTGATTCGCCAGTGGTGGTGCATTCAGTTGATGGAGAGGTTTTGCCTTGAAGGGTATGACAGACTCTACAGATACAATTTCAGTATCTCGGCTGTATTAAGTCACTGTTGGCAGTGATACTAGAAAAGTGTTATACAAACAGGGTGCATATTACATTTTACAAAGGCATGGACAGAGATTTGCACACTGGACAGAAGAAGCATCCCAACTCCTTCAGGGAACCCTTGAGCCTGTGTTTAGGGTGTCAAAATCCCCCACCACCAGCAGAAGGGTTGTGGCTGAAGAGGACACTGATAAGGTAAATGAGTTTAGTGTCATATATCACGGAGTTGCATGCAAGCTGGATAAATAGTGTCATTTGTTTGTGTCATTATATATTTGTATATTCAGGTGCAACAGCCTAGCATTGTGAGAGACCTTCATACAGCTTGGTACTGGGCACACAATCACAGAGACTTATTCCGTGGAGAGGTGACAGAGCCTGCTTTTCTGCAGATGAACAGTGAAGATCAACTAAATGCACTCAGGAAGGCCCTGGGGAGTGAATTCCCTGAAGCAAAGGAGGACTTTCTGTTTATATTTCAGTCTCAAGGTGACATGGAAACATTTCTGTCCTACTGTGTTGATAAACAAGGCCTGAAGGTCAATGCCATGCTCCTCAATCAGCAATTATAGTAGACGAGGGAGGGAATGAATGAATGAATTAATTCATTTATGAATAAATAATTTGAAAAAAAATATTTTTGTGTTTATTAGATGCAGACATTTGTTAAAGTATGCTGAAATAAGAAAAACATATCTTTAGAAAATTAATAATTAAATGTAAGACTCACACTTATATACACATCTGTATTACCCAAATAGAGTCTAGCAAATGTAAACTATATATATATTTTTTCATTTTACTGAATTGATTTAATTTGTGCAAATTTAATCGATTACTCAATTTAATCAATATAATTTAATTTGATATATTTTATTAAAAAAAGTGTATTTATATCAAAAGAATCACTAGTAAAGGACTATTTCCGGTACGGATCGGGTAGTGTCAACAACACATTAAAACATTACATTATTATTAGTATTATAATTAATAAACAGTATTATTATAACTACCCGAAATTGCCGTAAATGGTTTCGTCATACAGACAGGAAGTAGACGCATTTCCGCGCATGCGCAGTACAAATCGTGTTTCCGGTACGGATCGAGTAGTGACTAGGGATATGCCGGTATCAATTTTTTTAATTTATTTATTTATTTTTTATTGCAATTGAAAGAATAACAGCAGTTATGAAGTAACGGGGCAAACGGACATCATCACGTAAAGTTAGAAAATCTACACAAATTAACTAAATATATTAATGATAAAGAACGAAAAAAAGTATTTTAAAGATAGCTTACAATAGACTCAAGAATGTTAAATGTTTTAGAAGCTTTGGAGCTCAACGGATTAGACATTCTTAAAAGAAGTAAAAAGGGACTTTATATCAGATAAAAACATTCTAAAGTTAGGTTTGCAATGAATGGTTTTTGCTTTATGAAGGTGAAATTTACCCAGAAGACAAAGCAATAAAACAATATGTTCCAGATTACTGACCTTGGAATGAAAATCTGACAAAAAAATGATAGATTCTGTTATTTCTATCATTTTGTTACAGCAGGAAAAAATTAACATGGTAACTTCTGACCAAAAAAAACTGGAGAATGGGCAAAAATAAAACAGATGTAGGATAGATTCTTCATCAGTATTACAAAATGAACACATTGAGGACATATTCTCAGAAAATCTGCTCAGAAATAAATTACAAGGGTAGTATCTATGAGCAATTTTGAAATGGAGTTCTTTAATTTTACTTGGGATAAATAGCCTGTGAGGAAAGGTCCATAAGTTTTTTTAATTCAGAGTTCGGATAACAAATCCTCCATTTAGATTGTGCTTTAGAGGGGCATCCTGGGGTTGAAGAAAGAGCATTTCTAATAAAAAAGTTATTGCATTTTTTATCTAATACATAAACACCATTAAATGCAAGTGTAGGAAAATGGTTGTTTACACAGCCATAACATAAATGCGCTTTAAACAAAGTTTTTAAACTGACAGGGATACTTTTAGTCACCTTATTAAAATCTCTTAGTGAGATTGATGCACCTTTCAAAAACACAAAATCAGAAAAGGAAAGAAGGTCCCCATCAG